AGATCATACATCTTTTGTTTTTTTTTGTTTTTTCTATATATAAAAATCATGTGATATGACGTAATTTTGACCATTTCAACTTTTCATTTCGACTTTTGGGTTTTCATTTCGACTTCATGTATAGTCCAGACATCTATCTAATACTATAACATGCCTTTCTCTATTAAGAAGTGAATCATACATTTTTGTCTGATTATCGCGAAAGTTATTACACCGTTGTTCTAAGGCTTTTTTGATAGCTTGAGCTTTATGATCTTCTTCTTTGGACTTAACTGAAACAGTCAAGCTAGTGATAAGTACTTTAATTTGTGGAATAATAGATTGTATAGTAGATAGTGATAATGTCTGACTAGTAACCGGTAGAAGGATAATGGCAAATTGTACTGAGAAATCAGATATTTTACTATATAAGGAGATCCAGGTTGGTGAAATAGTTCCAGAATGTAAAGCTTTTTTTGAAAGTTTTTCAAGTTTTTGAATACTTAATAATTGCTGGTAAACTTTTTTAAGTATTTTAGGCCTCAGGTCACGTGCATGTTGCGAAGAGTGGTGAATAGGGATAAACTTCTCTGCTGCTTTTATAATACAACTTTAGATTAAATCCCAGTAAAAATTTAAGGCGTGTTTGGATTTCAGTTTGGTTTTATCCAAGTTGGCGAGCTGACAGGAAGAGAGTAGGCATCTGTTTTGTTAGCAAAATTCATCCAATCATCATGAGACATCTTGTCATAGTGAAAGGATATCTTCTTAGCTAGAGCTTTGTTAGTCTAAGAAACTAATTCTGAAATATAAAAGGAGATCGTTGCAATATTATGATCTGTGAAATCTTCATTGATATCAATTACTGTGGCTATATATATATCTATCACCAATCTATCTGAACAATAAATGTGGTCAATCCTAGATGGGTAAGGCATATTTTGTTGTTAAAAGTAGGAAATATTGCATTAGCATTATCAAATAAAAGGTAGAAAGTATTGTATATATTATATTTATCCAATTGTTCAAAAAATTTATTTGAGTTTGAAGGATTGTTAGCCCAAGAAGGAACTGCATTAAAGTCTCCTAGTAGGATAACTTGCATGTTGTCCAGCTTGGCTTGGTTGAGCAATTTGGTGATAGTAACATAAGTTTTGTTACGGAGTGTGATATCTGAACTTGAGATATAGGTGTTGATTATACAGAGTCTGTATTTATAGCGGAATTGTAAATCTATATAGATATATTGTCCAAGATCACCTTAGCAATTGTATACGTGATCTGCAAATTGTTTTTGATAATAAATCCGACTCTGAAGCCAGATTTTTGTGCAGATTGATTATGATTTAAAAATATTTGGTAAGTTGAATTAATAGTACGTTTTAAAGATTTAGATTGCAAATAGTTGAGATCAGTTTCTTGTATTTTGATAATATCCAAGTGGTGTAAAGAATAAATTTGCATGAATATTTGTTGTTTTGTTGGATTGGTGAAAGAACAAACGTTATGTGTGGCAGTTTTTAAGATTTGATTAATTGTATTATGATTAAAAGAGGGATTTGAGGTATTTCCATTGTTATTATTATCTGTACTGATCATTCATTTTAAAGAAATTTAGGTTGGGTAGGGGGATCAGACTTATTATCATTGAAGTAGTCTGAGGATGCCAGCTTAATTAGTTCTGCGATGTTAATTAAACGATTTTCTGAAAGGAGCTTATGGTGAACAAGTAATCTTTGCATTTGGGCTACAGCAACGAGGCATTATTGAGTTTTTCATAATTATCACTTAAGTTACCCTTAAGAATAGAATTTTCAAGTTGTAATTCAGTAACTTGGGATTCTTGTTATCGAGCAATGGATTTGAAGATATTAATTCCTGCAGTAACAACTTCATTATCCTCTTCTTTCATGTCATCAAGGGGATTTTTATACTTGTTATTATTGATGATATCTGCTTGTTCTGGGGAGATAAATGTAATATTGAAAACAGTTTCGATAGTGTTTACCCTCGTAAGTGTAAAGCCAAGTTGGTTATGAATAAAGATGAGGGACGAAACTCAAAAAAGGCAATTAATAAACAGCTGAAACTATATTAAAATATAGTGAGGGGTACGA